CCCGGACTGGCCCCTGGAGAGGCTCTGTCCCCGAGTGACATCCCTGCTCCTGGAGCAAAGTCTGGGTTACTTTCAGAGGTGGTTTCCTCCTCTCAGCACCTTTCACTTTCCTTCCCCCCATTCCCAGACTGGGATCAGCTGTCAAGTGCCCCTGTCCCTGCTGTGTCCCCAACTTTAGTTTGGGGCAGACACCAGGAGCCCGAAGTGTGCACAAGCAACTGGGTGAAACCGAGGCTGTCACCCCTCATCCCTGTGTCCCCAGCCCATGGGGATGAAAACAGCTTCAGGAAAGCACTCCAGGGTGTGGGGAATTGGACATCAGCCCAGAGTCCCCAGAGGGAGCAATCCTGTGTGCATCCCACAGGCATCTGCATGTTTTGCCAGGGGGCTGTGTGTGTTTCAGCTGGATTTCATGGCACAGGGAGTTTGGGAACCCGGGGGATGCTCTTGCAGAGGTTTCTGCAGCTCTTGCTGTGCCCAAGGAGCTGCCCTGGTGCCAGGGGGCACAGCCACAGCGCTGTAAGCAGCTTGGACATACACCAGCCACCCCATAGAGCTTGTGGGGCACAGGCATCGGTGCAGCCCATGCATGACCAAGGTGTGTACAAGGACCCTGGTACCAGCCCTGCACCTCCAGGGCACCGTCCAGACCCCCCAGGGACAGGGGCACTGCGTGCCCTGCGTCAGGAAGGAAACAGAGAGAAAGTCACTATCAGATCTGGCCGCCGCCGCTTGGCAGGACACTCAAGAGCACCCAAGTGCCCCTTTAGCCTCTGTTTGTTGAGCTGACACAACATCTGGGCAGGTCCCCAGCGCCTGCTGCAGGTGCTGTGGTGGGGTCAGTGACCATGGGGCAGAGCAGGAGCATCCCAGCCGTGCCGAGTCCAAGGTTAGGACCAGGAAAGCACCTTGCAGGGACTTGTCTCAAGAGGTATTTCCAGGCCAGATTTCACCCTTTCATGTGTTAATAAACAAGTGAGGATCCTGGTCAGGAGCTCCCTGCAATGTGAAGGTTCCAAAAGCAGCCCACTGATGGGACAGCAGGAACATCTGCAGGAGCGTGGGGTGACACGGAGCACTAAAGGGTTAACAGCAGGCTGGTGTGGCCCAAAAGGCTGAATTTGGGGGATCTGGGAAGCCTTGGGCCAGGCAAACCCCACACGTGTCTGTAACACAAGAGGGGCTGAGCCAGGCTACCATGGTGTGGGCAGCTCCAGGACCTGGCACAAAGGGTGGCCCAGGGACAAAGTGACATGGGGGGCAGCAGCCCCCGGCCATGCAAGGAAGGACAGAAGGATGCTGGAATGGCAGACAGGGAGATGTACCATCTATCTCCTGCAAGCTGGGGCTCTGGGCAAGAGGCTGATGATGGGGTTTGGGGGTTGGGGGCAGCTCATGAATGTGGAGCTTCTCCAGGTCCCGGGGCAGAGCAGCTTCAGGGACACATCCTGCACCACTGAATCTTCACTGTGCACCCAGGAGCAGAGAGGGACCGGGGTGGAGGGTGCTGGTAGGGAGACCTGGGGGCTGTGGGCACCCAGGGGCCTCACAGAGAGGCATCCCCACGGAGAGAGCTCCTGGCTGGTGGGCACAGCCACGGTCAGGGGGTCTCAGGTAGCGCTGTGGGCTCCATCGGAGCTGCCAGGAGAGTTTAGGGCATGATTTGTCTGACCAAACACAGCACCTGGTCAAGGAGAAGACAAAACACAGCTGGACTCTGCTTCCGCCAGCTCCCCTGGCTCTGCAGCAGGGGCTCAAAGGGGTAAAGGTATCACCCATTCCACGGGGCGATGCACGGAGCAGGGTGTCCATGGGGCTGGCACATCCTCGCGTGCCGGCTGATTCCCAGAGTGATGCTGTGGGTGCTGGGATGTAACCAGGGACACCCAACACTACTGGTGTCCCCATCCCGAGGTCCCACGGCCTGCCCTGGGCAGCCTCCAGCCCTGCAGCGCTGTAACTCCCTTCCCTCCCCACTGCCAGCCAAGGGAATGTGCAGATTAAAGTAAAACAAACCAGGCTTCTTGGGGCCAGCCTAAAAATGCCACAAGTAACAGCTAATGAGCTCCATAAATCACAGCGGGATGACACATGGACAGCAAACAGCCTCACTGCATCCTGCACATCGCCCTGGCCAGGACGCTCTCAAAAGATCCATGTTTCCCCAAAATAGAGCTGACACTGGCCAGGCTGGGATGCGACCGCCTGCAACACACCCTGTCCCAAACCCAGCTGCCTAAATAACCCCCCATGGTGCAGGCAGCTCCCTGCATCCCATGGCCCTGGGAAGAGAGGACGGGACTGGCAGGAGATGGGTGACAGTGAGAGACCCAAAACTGGGGGCTTGGTGCAAAGGGTGGCCCTCTGCAAGGTGGAACCCGGATATGGCACTTGCAGGGCACAGGCCAAAGGAGAAGTGAACAGATGTAGGAAGGAGAAAAGTGAATGTGGCATCTCTGGAGTTTTCCTTCAGGCTTCTGCAAAGGTGAGAACCAGCAGGCATAGGGAAAAAAGTAAAGCCACATCTCAGATCTGACACTGGGTTCTGGCAGCTGCTGGAGCCAGCCCAGGAGCACCCAGATACCCCTGTCCCGGCATCCCCACTCCATCCAGGTCACAACACCCTGACGTCACCTCCAAAACATACTTAAAGGGCACCTTAGCGGGTGCTTGGAGGTGGGTGGGATCTGCAGACACTGCTGGAAGCTGCTGTCTCTACCTATGCATGTCAGAGTGGTGACAGCCCTGCCTGTCACCTCTCTGGCTCCCGCTCTGAACCTGGTCCCCAAACCATCGCCTCGGTGGTGGCATGTCCCAGGGCTGACCCCAGGTCCCCATGTTGCTGAGCAGGTCGAGGCATCACTGGAGGAGCAAGAGTTCATGGAGGTGTGGGGGAAGAAAGCCAAGGAGCTCTATGGCAGCATCTGGAGCAACTTCAGTGACACACAGCTGAGGAAAATCATCAGCTCCATCCAGACCCTGGGACCCTCCAACCTGCCCCTGGACAAGAGAGAGCAGGTAGGGGGGGGGTGCTGGTGAAGCCCTGGGCATTGCTGGGGTGCTGTGAAACCCCTGAAAGGGATTTTCCCCAAGCCTCCAGACCCTGTTGCTGGCCTGTTGCCCCTCCATTGCGATTTGGAGGGTCCCTGTGGCCTCTGCACAGGGATGACAGTGATGGGGGGAGATACGGGGTGTTAGCTCCAGGGTTGTGGGGTGCCTGCTGGCCCCATGATCCAGCCGTAACCTCATCTCAGTGGGAAGCGGAGATTTCCTGCTTACACAGAGCAGCCGTGGCCATCACCTGGAGACCAGCCAGGCTGTGCCCATGGCCAGGAGCCAACTGGCTCAACCCCCTGTCCCCAGGGGTGCAGCCCTCTGGAAAGGAGAGTTGCTGCAGCCACCCGGCTCCGGAGCACTCCCTGAGAGTGCCTCGGGGACACTGCATGAGGGACATCCTGTGCCTTCCCCATCACGGTCACTTACCTAAATGCGATGTGATTTTGATTTCCATGCATGAAAACTTCACCCAGGCTGAGGCTGGCAGCCTCTTGCCCCTGAGGCTGGCACTGTCACCCCCTCCAGCCTGCCCCATGGCTCCCTGACAGCCCTTGCACTGAAACCCTGGCAAACCCCAGGGATTACAACCCTTCCCAGAGAAGCCTCAGCCCCAGTTCCTTCCAGGAAACCCATCCCTGCCCTCTCCAAGATAACAGACAGCATCACGTCTCCTCCCTGCACATCAGCCGTGTCTCGCCCTTCCCCAGGCAGCTCCATCCCACATCCACCACCGCCGTCCCCCATCTCCATCCCCTCCACCCAGCCGGAGCAGAGAGCGGCTGAGAGCGGAGAGAGGGACGGAGCACGAGGAATTTCCTTCCCTGGGAATGGGCTCCCCAGGCAGGTTCCAGGAAACCTCCCGTTGCTATTGTTTGCTGTTGTTGAAGTTCACAGGAATAAATCCCCCTCCTCCTCCTGCTTTTCTTAGTGTTGTTTTTTACCCGCTCAGATAAACAGGCTGTGCCGCGGCCCTGCTGACAAGGAGCTTTATAAATAGCCCCGCTCTGGGACACCACGAGCCGCCTTCGAGGGGGGGTCAGCAAGTCACTGTCCATGGGTCCTGTCCCAAAGAGCCTCCCAGCTCCCACCATGCGATGGGTGCGAACCCCCTGCGTGATAACACACTTCTCTCACCAAAAGGGCTCTGTAAACACTCCAATCCTCCTCCACATCCCTACACACACGCGCGCGCTGGAGATGGGAAGTCTGTAGATCCCTCCTGAAAGGCCATTCCCATCCCCTTTCCAGTCCCAACCTCTTTTACTTCCCCACAGTACAACACCATCCTGAGCGACATGGACAAAATCTACTCCACAGCCAAGGTGTGTCTGGCCAACAGTACCTGCTGGGAGCTGGAGCCAGGTATGGTCCCTCTCCACGCTGAGCACCTCATGGCCATGGTTTATCGGTGGACTTGGCAGTTCTGGGATAATGGTTGGACTTGAGGATCTTAAAGGTCTTTTCCAACCTGGTTGATCCTATGATCTGTCCAAGTCCCCACATCTCCAGCAGGTTAGGGTCGGCAGGTCCAACCCAAGTTCATTGGGATTGCCCCAGGATGCGGATGGGTATTTGGGTCTGGCGCGATGGTGGCAGCACCTCTGTGAGATGCGAGCCCCTCTCCAGCTCCTCTCTCATATCCTGCTACTTGCCCCTGTGTCCCAGACATCTCGGACATCATGGCCACCTCCCGCAGCTACAAGAAGCTGCTCTACGCCTGGGAGGGGTGGCACAACGCCGCAGGCAACCCTCTGCGCGCCAAGTACGAGGAGTTCGTGCAGCTGAGCAACGAGGCCTATCAGATGGATGGTAGGAGCAGGATGGGGGATGCAGGGGGTGCTCAGGGATCATGGCACGGGTGGGAGCTCACCCCCGCCTCCCTGGTAGGATTTGAGGACACAGGCAGCTACTGGCGCTCCTGGTACGACTCAGCCTCCTTTGAGGATGACCTGGAGCACCTCTACAACCAGGTGGAGCCTCTCTACCTCAACCTGCACGCCTTCGTCCGGAGGAAGCTGTACGACCGCTATGGCTCCAAATACATCAACCTGAAGGGCCCCATCCCTGCTCACCTCCTGGGTAAGAGGAGGGGACCCCCTCCAGCCTCTGTCCAGAGGTGCTGGCAGGGCCAGAGGGGCACGTGCAAGTCCATAGTGGGACAGGGAGGTCCTAGTTATCACTGTGTTTCTCTTCCTCCCAACCTACCACCAGCTCTGCTCCTGCTGTTTTCTCTTCTCAGGCAACATGTGGGCTCAGCAGTGGAACAACATCTATGACTTGATGATCCCCTACCCTGACAAGCCCAACCTCGATGTCACAAGCACCATGGTGCAGCAGGTGATGGACTGAGGGACTCACTGGTGGCACCAGGGGGGACAGAAATGGGGGGTGCTGGCCAAGGCTTACCCATAGCATTGACCCCATGGGAGTGGCTTCTCATCCATGCATAGGGGACAGCAGAAAAGCCATGTCTGGGAGGAGAAGGAGCAAAGAAATGACACCATTCCCTCTCTGTTAATGACCAAAGAGGCAGCGGGTGGGCAGAGGAAGGACAGTGCAGTGGGACTCCTGTCCATGCTGGGCACCAGCACCATTGCTTGGTGCCTCTTAGGGAACCTCACACCAATTCTGGGGCTGAGGATCCCCATCAGGGCAAGAGAGGAAGAACCCTGGTCCCTTGGAAGGACTCACCTCATTCCCACGGTGCTGGGAGAGCATCAGAGGCAATGCCCATGACATGGGCAGCCCCTTCCTCACCACAACCTCCTGCCTGCTGCCCACCAGGGCTGGAACGCCACGCACATGTTCCGGGTCTCGGAGGAGTTCTTCACCTCCCTGGGGCTGCTGGAGATGCCCCCTGAATTCTGGGACAAGTCCATGCTGGAGAAGCCAGCGGACGGGCGGGAGGTGGTGTGTCACGCCTCGGCCTGGGACTTCTACAACCGCAAGGACTTCAGGTGTGTGGGGCCATGCAGGGACCCAGGGCCACAGGGTGAGATGCTCCTCCATCCCCCTTGGTCAGCACTGTGCAGCCCAATCAGCCACCTGCTGGGGTAAGGTCATAGTGGGGCACCATGCTGCCCTGCCTTCCCCTCCCCATGGGGTGCTGCCACCCTCTCAGGGATTGTGAAGGGTCCTTCCCATCAAGGGCTGCAGAAGGTCCCCCACTCAGCTATGTTTTCACCCACCAGGATCAAGCAGTGCACGACAGTGACCATGGAGCAGCTGTTCACGGTGCACCATGAGATGGGCCACATCCAGTACTACCTGCAGTACAAGGACCAGCCAGTCTCCTTCCGCAGCGGGGCCAATCCCGGCTTCCATGAGGCCATCGGCGATGTCATGTCCCTGTCTGTGTCCACCCCCAGCCACCTCAAGGAAATCGGTCTCCTCAACAGTGCCGCTGAGGACACAGGTATGGTGGCCACCATGGGGAGTCGGGTGGCATGGAGGAAGGGTTTGGGGCATGCCAGGGTGGGCTGCAGTCTGGTAACACAAGACCCCATGGCTGGTGTGTTCCTTGCACCCACATTTAGTTCCATGCACAACCCCTTCATGTCTCCATGGGTCCATGTAGGAGCCATCTTGTCTCTATGGGTGCATGCACAACCCCTACTTGGCTCCGCGGGTCCATGGCTCCAACCTCTTCACCCTGAGGGCTGGAGGCAAGGTCTCCCGAGCTTGTCTGTATTCTTCCCTTCTCTATCAGAGCCCCAAATCTGAAAACAGCATCTTTGTGTTTGATCATCTTTGATCTTCCCAGTGTTTCCCCCTCCTTCACCAAGAAGCATCCACGCCAGGAGCTCTGGCGCAGCTGTGCAGAGGTGGCACTGAGTGCTCACAAGCAGAGTCACAAGGACAGTGTCATTAAATACATTGCACGACGGGGAAGCCATCACAGCAGGCACGAGTGTTGGGCCAATGCTGCATCAACACCATGGAGCAGATGGCCCCTGCCTGAAGGCATCTCTGCCTGCTCACCAGCCCTTGGCAGCCATGCCATCATAGCAATGGCAGCCAATAGCCCCTCAGGGCAGTGCTGCCAACCCCTCCTTGATCCCACAGCTTCAGCTGGGTCTCCAGCTGCTCCTTCTCCAACCTTCCTTCCCTGTGTTTGCTTAAGGCAACGGAGAAAGCAGATATCACCACCCCTGTGCTCCCAGTGATATGGTGGTGACCGTCCTAGAGCTGGCTCCAGTTCTGGGTCTAAACCATGAGAGATTTTGCAGTGGCAGAACAACCCCCTTCACCCTGAGGCCCCAGAGTGAATGTGTGAAGAGGGAACTGTTAGAGTTACACTCACAAAGACCTTCCCTTGAGAGCCAGGCTGAAGGAGAGGGGACATCATGCTTGTCACTCCCACTGTTCCCAATCAGTAAAAAGGCACATATTGCCCCAGGTAGGAGCAGTATCTAGAGAAACCTCCCCCTGTGTCCTACACAACCTTCTGCAGGGGGCAAAATTGTATGTCAGAATGCTGTCCCCACTTCCCATCCAGACCTGCTCACCCTCCTGCCCACAAGAAGTCTAGTGGGCACGGTGTTGTCCAGTCAGACTCCTTCCCGGCCTGGCTCAGGCTCTGTTTTATGCAGAGAGCAACATCAACTACCTGCTGAAGATGGCCTTGGAGAAGATCGCCTTCCTGCCCTTCGGCTACCTCATCGACCAGTGGCGCTGGAACGTGTTCAGTGGCCGCACACCCCCGAGCCGCTACAACTACGACTGGTGGTATCTGAGGTAGGGGACAGTCATCAAGGTGGATGAGGGTGTGGGAGCTGGTGGTGTGCAAGGAAGGAGGGCAGGGAAGAAGAAAGGAAGGAAAAAGTAACCGTGGAGCTGGCTGGAGAACAACGGATAGATGGGTGGGATGGATGTGGTAGAAGCAGGAAATGCTCCATCCCTGGCAGTGTTCAAGGACAGGTTAGGCAGAGCCTTGGGTGACATGGTCTAGTGTGAGGTGTCCCTGTTCCATGGCAGAGGGTTGGAACTGGATGTTTTGGGTTTCCATCCCAAAACATTCTATGATTCTATGATTCTGTGATTCCATGATGGATGGATGGATGGATGGATGGATGGATGGATGGATGGGAATACATGGAAGCGCACTCTAATTGTTCAGATTTCTTCAGCTCTGTGCCTTCCCTTCCCATTCCCCGCTTTGATTCTTCTGACCCACTGCTTATGCTCTTGTTCTCTGTTGTCCTCAGAACCAAATACCAGGGTATCTGTGCTCCGATTTCAAGGAACGAAAGCAACTTTGACCCTGGAGCAAAGTATCACATCCCTGGGAATACCCCTTACATCAGGTAGAAGTGCCGGCATGGGGACAGAGGCTTGGGGAGCAGGGGGAGTGGGGCTCAGCTCTGTGGGCAGGGACTGGGATGCATTGCTCCTGCTCAAGGCGCTGAGAACATCCAATGCTTGGGACCGCAAATGGTGGGGAGCTGATATGTGGTTGGATGCCTTCCCCCATGTCCTGGGACTTGTCTGTTTCCCTTTGTCTCCGGTCTCACCTCCATGGGCTTCCTTGGCAGGTACTTTGTGAGCTTCATCCTCCAGTTCCAGTTTCACAAGGTGCTGTGCCAGGCGGCCAACCACAGCGGTCCCCTGCACACATGTGACATCTACATGTCCAAAGAGGCTGGAGACAAACTCAGGTGGGGACAGAGGAGGGTCGGGACAATCACCACGGGCAGATGTGTGCATGGAAGCTGATGGTGTGCAAAGGAAGGAAAGAAGAAAGGAAGGAAAAGTGGCTATGGAGATGGCTGGAGAAATAGCTTTGCAGATGGATGGATGGATGGATGGAAATACATGGAAGCACTGGGGTGGGGTGAGTGGTCCTCACCAGAGTACTGCTATTGTCCCTGTCATGAGCTCTCACCCAGACAAGGGGTCACTAAAGCACGTCTGGTTCCCATTGGCTCTCTGGGTGTTAACAAATGCATGAGTATGTGATGGGGAGTCCTCAGTCCACACGAGCAGGACAGATGGGGGCTTCAGAGGCAGTTCCCAGGTTCATGTCCCACTCGGTAATAATGTCTTAAACCCTTGTGATGCTGAGACACCATCGCTCCCATCCCATCTCCCACCCATCCCCTGGCCTCATGCTGGCTCTTGCTGTCCTGCTGCTCTGCAGGGAAGTGTTGAAAGCTGGGTCTTCCAAGTCATGGCAGGAAATCCTGTTCAACCTCACTGGCACGGATAAGATGGATGCTGGGGCCCTCCTGGAGTACTTCAGCCCTGTCACTGAGTGGCTTCAGGAGCAGAACAACAAGACCAATGAGGTGCTGGGCTGGCCTGAGTTTGACTGGCGTCCCCCTATCCCTGAAGGCTACCCTGAGGGCATTGGTAAGGCTGCAACTCCATCCTGGACCTGGAAAGGGGGAGAAAGAGGTCTCCTAAGAGACATGAGTAACCCAGAGGCTGAGAGGACTCTGCTGTGATGGGGAAGGTTCCCATGCCAGGAAAGAGAAACTACCAGCTCCATGTGGAATCTCACAGGTGTTGCTTCCCAGGCAGCAGTGCCATTAGCCAACACCTTGACATACCATTGTCTGGTCATGCCAACACCTTGACATACCATTGTCTGGTCGTGCCATCAGTCATGGTGTGACAGGTCACCAGTTTTCAGCAGCATCCTTTCTGCTCACATAGGAGGGTCTAGGGCATGCAGCTTGTCCTGTTCTCCCACCCTCTGTCCAATGGGACACCCCAGCAGTGCCCCTCTGCCCCCATTTCTTGGCTCAATCTGCTTCCAAGTTGTGGCATCATTCAATAGACGTGCAGCTTGTGGAAAAGGTCAACTATGGATTCTCTGTGGGGTGGTGCTCTTGCAAACAGGACTCTCCTGACTTTCCTTCCCCCCCCCCATTTATCTTCTCCTCTAGACAAAATATCAGACGAAGCACAAGCTAAAGAGTTCCTGGCCGAGTACAACAGCACAGCTGAGGCAGTGTGGAATGCCTACACCGAGGCATCCTGGGCCTACAACACCAACATTACCGACCACAACAAGGAGATCATGGTATGGGCACGACCCCAGGGCTGTGCAGGGATTGGCATCAGCCAAGGCAGGCAGCTGGTACCCAGGGTATGTTTCAGATGAGCTCTGAAAACCAGGGCAGCATCTGCCCCAGCCAAGGAGTAATGTTCTCACCCGGGAGGCACCTTTGCCATGAAAACCCTCATCATGCCATGAGGTACCCACAAGGGAGGTTGTCAGTCATGGCAGGCCAAGTAGTGTTTCTTGTGATGGGCTGTGTCCCAGGGATCTCCTCTAAGTAACTCCTCTTCTGTGCTCTCCCACCCTTGCAGCTGGAGAAGAACTTGGCCATGTCCAGGCACACACTTGAGTACGGCATGAGGGCCAGGCAGTTCGACCCCTCCGACTTCCAGGACCAGAGTGTCACACGCATCCTCAGGAAGCTGAGTGTCATTGAGAGGGCAGCCCTGCCCGAGGATGAGCTGAAGGAGGTGAGCTGCAAGGGGACACAGCAGGATGGGCTGTTTCTTGCCACTACCCAAAAGGAGGTTGTAGTGTGGTGGGGTCGGTCTCTTCTCCCAAGAAACAAGTGATGGGGCAAAAGGGAACTTTTAGGAAGTGCCACTGGGCAGCCATCACCCACCCTTGGACAAGGGGATGGTTTGGTACCTTCTCCACAAAGCCAAGATCCTTGTCTCCAGGGTTTCCCACCTCAAGGTTGCCTTAACCCAGGCTGCTTGGGTGACAATGGCACATTGCTTCTTGGCCTCAGTATTTCTTGTATTGACTCCATTTGGTGACACAACTGGCCAGAGGAAAACGCCCGAGGACATCATAACGGTCTGTGACATTCTCCAAGGTCAGGAGCAAGGATGACCAGCTTACATGATCTAACTTTCTCTGCAGTATAACACCCTCCTCTCAGATATGGAGACCACATACAGCATAGCCAAGGTCTGCAGAGAGAACAAAACCTGTCACCCACTGGATCCTGGTAAGACCTGGCAGGGTGTGCAGTGAGCCGTCTGCAACAGGCCCAGCAAGGAGGGATTAGTTAACAGGGGCATGAAGAAAGGTCATGAAAGAACCTTACCACCTTCTCTGTGGTGGTGCTAACAGAGAAGCAACACCATTGCGTCAGTCCAGCCTGTCCAACAGCATCACTTCAGCTCCACTGCTCTCTCTTCAGACCTCACAGACATCATGGCCACCTCACGGGACTATGATGAGCTCCTCTTTGTCTGGAAGGGCTGGCGGGATGCTTCTGGGAAGCAGATCAAGAACAACTACAAGCGATACGTGGAACTGAGCAACAAGGCAGCCGTGCTCAACGGTCAGTGCCCCACTCCCTTGGAGACTCCCCATGGTCTTAAGCCCCTGTGAGCAGAAGATGGGGCTGATCACACAATCGAGGGTCAAAATCTTGTGGGTGTGGAGGTTCCACCAACTCCCATGAGATCCACTGCCTCATAGATCTGGGGGACTTGGGGTGTCTGAGCAACAAGGCGGACTCTTGCCCAAGAAGGGCAGTGTCTGACAGCCTCTCTTGCCCTGCTGCAGGCTACTCAGATAATGGGGCCTTCTGGAGATCCCTGTATGAGACATCCACCTTCGAGGAAGACCTAGAGAGGTTGTACCTGCAGCTGCAGCCCCTGTACCTCAATCTACATGCCTACGTACGCCGAGCCTTGTACAGAAAGTATGGTGGAGAGCACATAAACCTGAAGGGTCCCATCCCTGCTCATCTGCTAGGTAAGGGCTCTGCCCAAGCAGAGCTGTGTCTCCCACCAGGTATAGTTTGCTCCACGAGTTGAGGCTGGTCTCTCTTCAGCTCTGGACAAAGGGCCAAGGCCTCATGAGATGGGTCTGCCCAGGGAAGGGCGCTACACTCAGCGTGGCATGACCTGTCCTGCATGGGCAGGCTCCTGCTTGCACCACCCTTGTGGATGCAGGGCAAGGACCAGGCAGGTTGATGCACCCCACGCAGGAGCAGGGAGTAACCGACTGCCTTTGCTCTCCTCTCCCTCCTGCCGTGCGTTGTCCTCCTGCACTTCCCAGGCAACATGTGGGCGCAGTCATGGTCCAACATTTTCGACCTGGTGATGCCTTTCCCAGATGCCACCAAGGTGGATGCCACCCCGGCCATGAAACAACAGGTCAGTGCTTCTCCAGGCTGCGCTGGGGGAGAACCTGTGGGACTTAGCACCCTTCGGTCATTGCCTCCAACAGTGTTGCCAAATGTTTTGCTACAGCCAAAAACCTCCATGCCTCATCCATGTCCTCTCTCCACCTGGATATGCCAAGGGCTGGATCCAGCTCCAGCTGCCCTCAAAAGCTCTCCCCCACCCAGAGAGGAACCAGGCTGTCCCTGGCCTCCCATCCTTCCCACAGCCCCCAGCACCATTAGCATCTTCAGCAGGTCCTCTGCTCTCTCCCCAGGGCTGGACTCCCAAGAGGATGTTTGAAGAGTCGGACCGTTTCTTCACCTCTCTGGGCCTCATCCCTATGCCAGAGGAGTTCTGGGACAAGTCCATGATCGAGAAGCCAGCAGATGGGCGGGAGGTGGTGTGTCATGCCTCAGCCTGGGACTTCTACAACCGCAAGGACTTCAGGTGCCCACGGGGAGCACACGGTGGCTCCAGCTGGTGTGGTGCTGGGGCAGATGGCAGTGCCTTTGTGGAATAGGGAACATGGCCTGATGTCACCACAGTGCCTCTTGCCTTGTGGCTGTGGCATTGCCACTGGTACTCAAGATGCTCCACTGCAGGCAGGACCCTCCATGGTGGATGGAAGGCAACCAGGCCCTGTCATGGAGACTGGAAAAGCCAATGAAGAGGGACAGGGAATGGGCAGGGTCAGCAGAAGATGCAGGGGAAATAGCGATACCAACCCCATGGAGTAGGACCAGTCCAGCCTGGCATCAGATGTGGGGAGGGGGCATGTGGAAAGGGAGGCCAAAGGGAAAAGGGGGTGTGATGGTCCCTGGTGATTTTCACCCCAGCACTGCCCTCTCTTCTTCCCCAACCCCATGTCCTGCTCCAGGATCAAGCAGTGCACCGTGGTGAACATGGACGACCTGATCACGGTGCACCATGAGATGGGCCACGTCCAGTACTTCCTGCAGTACATGGACCAGCCCATCTCCTTCCGTGACGGGGCCAACCCTGGCTTCCATGAGGCTGTTGGGGATGTCATGGCCTTGTCTGTCTCCACCCCAAAACACTTGCACAGCATCAACCTGCTGGACCAAGTCACAGACAACACAGGTGAGGTGGCAGCAAAGGTGGGGAGGTGCTGGGGGCAAGATGGGCTGGGCAGGGTGGAAGGGGTCAGGACATGCATGAAGGGGACAGGACCTGCTGGGGACACCCTGCTCTTGGGCAGAGTGACCCATACAGGGTGGAGAGGTGGGGATGGTACCACCTTGCTCACACCTTCACGCCCTGGGCAGAGAGTGACATTAACTACCTGATGAGCATCGCCCTGGACAAAATCGCCTTCCTGCCCTTCGGGTACCTCATGGACCAGTGGCGCTGGAAGGTCTTTGATGGGCGGATCAAGGAGGATGAGTACAACCAGGAGTGGTGGAACCTCAGGTGTGCTTGGATTCAGAGCCCCCCTTTGGTGCAAGGGCTTTGGCCATCATCCCACTGGGTGTTTTCTCCCTGTGGTCCAATTGTCTGCAATGGGACATGATGGGATACGTAACACCTGACACTGTCCTCACACCCCACTGTGTCCCCTCCTGGCTTAGCCAATCTTCTCTTCCCCATGCTGGGCTAACTCTTCCTCTCTGGCCCAGGTTGAAGTACCAGGGCTTGTGCCCACCAACACCAAGGTCTGAAGATGACTTTGACCCCGGTGCAAAGTTTCACATCCCTGCCAATGTTCCCTACATCAGGTGAGCAAGCAGGGCTGGGGCAGGAGAGTCGCTGCTTGGGCACAAAAGCAGGATCTCCAGTTCGGATGCCACTCATGGCACCTTGTTTGCCGGCTGGTGGGATAGTTGGTGGTACCATCCTGAGGGTGTCAGGAACCCTGACAGAGCTTCAGAAGAGAAGGCTGGATTTGGGGGAATTTCTCCTTGCCCAAGGAGGATGGTTCATCTACCCAGGCAATCATAAAACACTTGTTCAAGGAGAAACGGCATCAGCAGAGTGGAGGGAGTTGATGCAGGTGTAGCTCCAAAGCCAGCGATTCTCCTCCAGACTGGCAGGGTGCCACCAGGGGATGAGGGGGCCCACTTCTGTTGCACAGCCACTAGCAGTGTCCATTCCCACGTCCTCACCCCTCTCCACCCACCCGCAGGTACTTCGTCAGCTTCGTGATCCAGTTCCAGTTCCACCAGGCACTGTGTGCGGCAGCCAAGCACACAGGTCCCCTGCACACGTGTGACATCTACCAGTCCAAGGAGGCTGGGAACATCCTGGGGTAGGTGTGTGGGCAGCACAGAGCCAAGACAGGCTGAGAACACTGGGGCTGTTCAGCCTGGAAGGCTCCGGGAGGGAGACCTCAGAGCAGCTTCAGTGTCTGAAGGGGGCTACAAGGATACTGGAGATGGGACCTTCATCAGGGACTGGAGTGATAGGACAAGGGGTGATGGGTTCAAACTGAAACAGGGGAAGTTCAGGTTGGATACAAGGCAGAAGCTGTTCCCTGTGAGGGTGCTGAGGCGCTGGCACAGGGTGCCCAGAGAAGCTCCCCATCCCTGGCAGTGTTCATGGCCAGGTTGGACACAGGGCTTGGAGCAACCTGCTCTAGTGGAAGGTGTCCCTGCCCATGGCAGGGGTTGGAGCTGGATGATCTTAAGGTCCTTTCCAACACAAACCATTCTATGTTCCCCAATACCTTAAAACCAGCCCAGCAAGACAGGAGGCAACACAGCTCCTGGTCATCCATCCCCAGCATGGGATGCTTCTGGCCCTGGGTGCGAGCGGGGGTACCTTGGGCTGGGTGCTGGGGCTGTGATTGCGAAAGTAGCCACTAGATGGTAGCTGGGACCCTGGCAGGTAGAAGGTTCCCTCCTCCTCCTCCTCCCTCTCTCCTCCTCCTCCTCATACTCCTCCTCCTACTCCTTTTCTTCCTCCTCCCAGCCCCTGTTCCTAAGGGAAAACACCCCCCTTGCTTCAAGAAAGGCACCTGCAAAATTAACTCTTTCACCCAGGAACTGCTCTGCATCAGATTCAATTCACTGGAGGGCTTTAATCCATGTAAATCTCCCCATTCCTCCAAGGAAAACCTCCCTCCCTGCGCAGCCCTGCAGTGCTGGGGTACAGACAATACATGGGGTTGCCCATACGGAGATCCCCAAGCCCTGGGGAAAGGGAAGGGCTGATGGCCATGAGTGGGATGGGGAAACCCACCGGATCCCATTTCTCCTGCCACAGGGAGGCCCTGAAGCTGGGATTCAGCAAGCCATGGCCCGAAGCCATGGAGCTCATCACGGGGCAGCCCAATATGTCAGCTGATGCTCTGATGAGCTACTTTGAGCCGCTCATGACATGGCTGGTGAATGAGAATGAGAAGAATGAGGAGGTCCTGGGCTGGCCTGAGTACAGCTGGACTCCCTACACAGGTATGCAGGGCTCAGCCAAGCACAGCAGCTCCGTGGTGGGGCAGAGCTCAGCCCTCACCAGGGCCAGGCTGGGGCATGTGGAAGAGATGGAGCTGTCTTGGTGCCCCTTGGCCACCCTAAAATACACAGAGTATTTGGATGCTTCTCCTTCATTTCCCATGGAGCTGAGTCTAAAGGGGATAAGGCATCCACGGGACAAGCTGGTGACCCAATACACCAGAGCCCAGGGCCACCAGCACCAACCATGTCCCTCATTTTTCCATTTTCCAGCCACTACAGCCCAAGCCGGCTCCAGCCGAACTGATTTCCTGGGCATGTCCCTGGCCAGCAATCAAGCCACAGCAGGCAGCTGGGTCCTGCTCGCCCTGGCACTCGTCTTCCTCATCACCACCATCTACTTGGGTGTCAAGTTCTCCTCAGCCAGGAGAAAGACCTTCAAATCCAGCTCAGAAATGGAACTGAAATAAGGCAGCCACCAGCAGGGCAGCATGGACAGGGTGCAAGCATGGGTACTTGGCCAGGCTGGCAGCTATGCCATGGACACCTTTGCCAATGAAGCCGTGGGTTCCCACAGCCCAGGACTCCTCTCTCCGATCAGGTCAGATGTTCTTTTTCCACTATGCAAGAGCCAAAGCAGAAAAGAGCTATTTATTTGTCAACGTCTGCACTGGGGAAAGAGGGGATTCAGGCACCGGCGGGCACGGAGCCGTCACGAGCTGGGGCTCCCACCAGCCATCTCCGACCTGTAGGCAAAGCCACAGAGACTCCGAGGGACAGGGGGCAGTGGGGGGGATGCAGCACATTCCCAGCCCGGCTGCCTGGTGCCAGGCTGTTCGCTTGCATGGATGGAAAATAAACCCGTGTCTTGTCACTCTCAGGGCAGCAGCTCAGCTCCTTCTTGCAGGTGGGCTGGGACCTCAGTGGGACAGGGCTCTGGAGCAGCACAGCACAGTGCAAGCACAAAGCTCTGGGGACCAGCCTGGCTTTGGGGGCAACACAGCTGCGGCACCCAGCTTTCCCCATCCCCGTCATGAAAGCTCAGCATCCTCTTGCAGCATCTACATCCTCCCCTAAATGGCGTCAGCTTGTGGCTTCACCATGGAGCACATGCCTAAGGAAGGGGCTCAGTTAGGGCCAGAAGTCCCCAAGGTCCAGGCCTAAAGGGTTGGGGGGTCACCAGGTCCAAGCTGGGACAGGGATGGAGCTCCAGCTACTGTTACCCCAGCACAAGAAAGACGTGGCTTTACATAAGCGCTGGGGGGCTCCAAGGTCAGGGATCGCCTCCTGCCATCCAGCTCCTGATTATCCCAGGATCAGCGGCTCGAGGCTTCCCCCCCTCCCTCGTCTTTCTTCTGCTTCTGTAAATAAAACTTGGTATTTGTTCTGCAGTGATTAGGTGCAAAACTAATCCCAGCCTGGGGATTATTGCAGCCTTAAAGAGCTGTGATCTGCTGCAGCCTGGAGCCGCAGGGGAAATGAGGGGATCTGGGATGATCCACCCGAACACTCCCCATCTGATGGGATCTGACCCCCCCCCCCCATGTCATGTCTTACCGTGGGGAAACTGAGGCCTGGGAGAGGCTCATTGCATCAGGAGGGAGCAGAAGGTTCCTGCCCACACCACACAGCTCCCATGGGGAGGTGAAGCCCCAGCTCACCCCGTGTCCTTCCCCATGGCCACATCCCGGTGTGTCTGCTTTATATCCTGGCACACCAGGCACCCTCCTCTCCCCCCTTCCCGGCAGTGCACGGACCTGGCACGGTGAGAGCTGGGTTTGAAGCCAAGTGTATTTTCAGCCCAGGAAAGCAGCTGGTGCAGGTGTGCTCCATCCAGCTCAGCTCCTCACTGGTAGTTTTGAGCCCCGCTCTGGTTCCTTTCTGCCCCATTAGTGGGGGAAAAGAGGTCTCCAAGACCACCCAAATCCTACAGGTTTCATGGAAATTGCTTTCTGTAGGGGAAGAACAAATAAAAAGGAACCACACTGAACACTCTCAGGGACTGCAACACAAGCTCAGCCCTAATTAGACATCAGAGAATCCACCTCGGGCCCTGTCCTGGACACTGGACACAGCTACAAGGATGTGTGATGGTTACGCTGATCTGCGGCCTCCTCAGAGGCAGATGGACAACCCAAGCCCACACAGTCCATCAGGAGATGGGGGGTAGACACCACGTTGCCTTGAAACGCAGGTCCAAGGTCCATGTGACAGATGGGATGGGGTTGGACACCAGGCTACCTTCAACACAGGTCCAAAGTCCACCCAGGACCACAAGGTTGCGCCAAGCCCAGCCCGGGGGTAGGCTCAAGGTCCCACCTTGAAATTAAATGGAGCTCCTGGAATAGGGAATGGGCAACGATGTTGTACAAGATACGTTTAAACCCAGGATGGTTTTCCGTTCCCCGCTGCAATAACATCTGGAGAGGTTTTGCTGCCTTCGGGCTCCCGCATCGTGCTTTCTGCTGAAATTAGGAGACAGAGATATTACTCCCTCAGGAGAAAAAAACCCACCAAAACACCACAAAAGCAGAAATAAAAGGGGGAGATTCCCCCTCAATTCACCTGACTCCTTGATGGGGAGCACAGGAAGCAGCGAGGGGCTGCCCCGCATCCTGTTCAGAGGCTCCCAGAGCAGAGATTTGCTTTAAAATCATGGAATTCAAAGCAAGAAACACCCCCGGTTCCCTTTGCCACCCTTTGGGCACCGCAGAAAACTGTTTTCCCTTTGGTTTAGGCCCGTTATCCACCGCAGGGAGGTGGCTGGGGGCTCCC